ACCGCTGAACTGCAGATAACAGTCAGCTGAAGTGGCCTGCAGTACTGCACCCTAACCACTGCGCCACCTCGGCTCCACTTGGCCAATAAGAATTCTAAATTACTCCAATGATGGGATTCAATTTTTTTAAATTACTGGTTCTGTGGGCGTGGCTTGGTGGGCATGGCTTGGTGGGTGTGACATGGCTTGGTGGGTGTTGCAGCAGAAGGATACTGTAAAATCTCCATTCCCTCCCCACTCCAGGGGAAGGTTACTGCACAATCCCCATTTCCTCCCGTATCAGCTGGGACTCGGGAGGCAGAGAATAGATGGGGGCAGGACCAGTCAGAGATGGTATTTACCGGTTCTCCGAACTATTCAAAATTTGTGCTACCAGTTCTCCAGAACTGGTCAGAACCTGGGGAATACCACCTTTGGGGTACTCTCAAGACATACAGGACCACACATTCCATAATTCATAACCAGTAGGCAATCAATTGGGGAAGGTTGCACCACTCTATCCAATATTCAAATACAAAATAGAAAATAATCAGAAATCTCCCAAATTCTTTCCCCCTCCCATTCTGTCTATCTTAAAGATTCGGGATTGTGCAACTTCTTTCCAAAACAAGAGAAAGAAACACAACCTTTTGCAGCCTTCAGCTTTATTTTATGCAAATAGTTTTACTTGGTCTGTTGCCAAAAGAAATGGGTGTTAGCCTTAACCTCTTCCTGTTTCTTTTCAGAATGCATAATTCTGAATTTAGAGGGCCCCATCTGCCCTTCTAAATAACAAAGTAGCTCTAAATTTATAATGTATCTGCAAGGGATTAATGGGCAGGAGGTGGGTTTTGCCTTTGGGCTTTCCTAAACTGGCTTAGGCCGTCCTCTTGTGGTGCAGATTGCCACGTTAAAGGTTGCCATTATGTCTCATAGAAAAATTTAATTTTTTAAATTTAATTTAATTTGTCAAGCATGTATAACAGATAGAAGTATAAACATGACTATAAACACAGGAAATGGATATGAATAAATGGGGTTGTTAGGACCGGGACATTAGGCACGTCCGTGCACTTATGCATACCCCTTACAGACATCCTAGGAATGGGATGAGGTCAACAGTAGACAGTCTAAGGTTAAAGTTTTGGGGGTTTGGGGATGAAACCACAGTCAGGTAGTGCATTCCGGGCATTGACCACTGTTGCTGAAGTCGTATTTTCTGCCATCGAGTTTGAAGCTGTTTAAGTTAAGTTTGTATCTATTGTGAGCTCATGTATTTTTGCAGGACATTGTAGCAGATAATTTTGTGTACTATGTTCAGGTCAGACTGAAGGAGGCGTAGTTCTAAGTAGTCTAAGCCCAAAATTTCAAGCCTGATGGTATAAGGTGTTCTGTTGTGAGCAGAGAAGTGGAGGACTCTTCTCGTGAAATATCTCTGGACTCTCTCAATTGTAATAATGTCTGATATGCAATGCAGGTTCCAGACAGATGAACTGTATTCGAGAATAGGTCTAGCACAGGTTTTACATGCCCTAGTTTGCAATACAATATTACCGCAAGATTAGGTTAACAACTCTTAATGCCTTTTTGGCAAAGCTGTTACAATGAGCTCTGGTGCTTAGATCATTAGAAATGAGTTTTAAAGATATTTTTTTAGAAATGAGAAATTACTTAGCCAGATCAACACTACGAAGATCTTAAGGGTCTCTTAAACACTCATCATCATTTTCTTCACAAAAACCTGTCCATCAAATCCCCCCCCCCCCAACTCTCGGGATTCACAGATGCACCCAGATCCCGAGGGCGCCTGGTGGGAACCGTGCCACGCTTATAGCGCTGATTGGCTTCAGATCGGTTCGTTAGGATTGGATGCGGCGCAGCGCCTGTCTCTTTCCGTCATCGATAGGGAAGTAACGTGTTCCCTCCGATTGCTGGGCGTGGGCACGGGGGACGCATGCGCCGTGATAGGTTTTCGGTGCAGGAGGCAAAAGGATTCTTTGGACCGGTAGAGTTTGATCACGGAGCTTGCTTTGCGGCCGTGGGTCAGCGCCCCGCTCCTCAGCCATCGCCACGATGCCTTTGCAGTTTGAGCTGTGCCCGGGCCGGCTTGTCGGCGGAGATCATCCGTGCTTTATTATCGCCGAGATTGGCCAAAATCACCAGGGGGATCTCGAGATTGCCAAGCAGATGATTCGGGTGGCCAAGGTGGGGCGCGAGCCTGGCTTGGGTGGGGGGTGGAGGGGGGGGGCTTGGCCTGAAGGCGAAGGAAGAGGATCGTGGGCTTCTCGGGAAAGGCGGGAGACAATGAATGGCTAGGCTTGGTTGGAAGCAGAAGAAAGAGGTGCAAGCCTTCGTTTGATTCCTGGAGGTGCAGCGGTTCATGCCTCCGCCGGCTTACTTGGAGCTGAGCTGAGCTGATTTGGTTTGGAGAACTGGAGTTGCTTAGCATGGTCTATTAGGATTATATTCCGTCTTTCCTTTATGAAGCTGTGCATTTTAATCACCCCCTCAAAAAGAAAGTATCTAAGTAAGAGGGAAAGGAAGGAAGGAAGGAAAGAGAAAGATGGAAGGAAGGGACGGAAGAAAGGAAAGAGAAAAAGCAAAAGCAAAAGGAAGGAGGGAAGGAAGGAAGGAAGGACAGAAAAAGAAAGAAAGCAGAAGGAAGGAAGAACCCGTTCAGTAGGAGAGCCAAAGTCTCCTGGTCAGCTTCCCTGGCTAAGGGTGGACTAGGAGCTGGAATTCCCAAATGTCCTCCCAATTCCTTCACCACCACTTCCTGAATGCTAATAAGAATAACCACAACTAAATATGCCTATTTGCATTTGCTGATATGTGGTCTTGGTTTGAGCAAAGCTCAATATAAAGCATAGAACAAAAATGAATCAAGTGAACATCTCCACCTCTGGAGCCTGGACTTGTGACTGTTGCATTGCTGTTCCACTTTCCCCACCAGAATAGAAAAGTTTGGAAAAGATGGGAGAATTACAACTAGGAGGCAATTGTGTGGATTCCCATTAAACATGTGTGAACAAAGCAGGGTGCAGGACACATGTTTGCCTACTATATGTTGAACCTTGGGATGTGTTTAGAAATAGGTATTAATCCCTTCATCAATTTTAAGGGATTTATCAGTTGGGCTGCTGATCTGCAAGATGCCTAAACAATCTGAAAAAAAGAGCTCTTCTTGCTTTATTCCTGTAGATTTATAAGAATGGTTAGGTACACAACCTCTTTCATTAAGCATTTCAGAGCAGAGAGAAATGGATGTTACTTTGTGTCAGGTCTCTGTGAGGTTTTATGACTTCTGCTGCCACCTGCTTGGGAGTGAGGAAATAATCCCTTTCTTTAAACATTGTATATAATATCTTGTATGGTGCTTTTAAAGTACAGGCAGTCCTCGACGTACAATTGTAATGGAATCTGCCCATTATAGTTGCAAGTGGTGGCGGCTGATAAGCAAGATGGTTTTGTTTAACGACCTCCCACCCTCTGCTCTACCTGATATGGCTGTTAACCAAAATGTGTAGGTTATTAAGCGGAGTGCAGGGCCCTTCATGAGGATGAGGGAGGCCTAGTGCAGGTCAGAACACAGCATTGTGCAAAGCGATGGATGCCCCTAATTAATTAATTAATTAATTAGTCATGTGTATGTAGTGTATATTTGGGGGGGAGGGCTTTGAGAGCTGCATGCAACGAAATGTCATTTTAATGTATGCCGCTTAGTGTACATTCAAAGTGACAATGAAGTTATTTTGAGTCTAAATATGGCCATCTAATGGCACCATTGTGAAAGAGTCAGTGGCTTCCAGTGTCTTTCCAGGTGGAATCCAAGGTACTGGTCATCATATTTAATGAACTATATAGCCCAGGGCCAGGCTATCTGGGAGGCCACCTTTCCCTAAGGACATTGACCCATCCCATCTGACAGGTCAGATAGCATGGGCATGCTCCTAGCGCTTTCCCCTAAATATTGCCGTCTGATGGGAGCTAGGAAATATGTCTTTTCTGTAGCAGCCTTTGCCCTATGGGACACACTGCCCCCTGAAGTTTGGCAGGCTTCTACCTGCCTAGCCTTTTGTAAAGTTTTAAAGATATTACTTCCCCCCCCCCCACCTTTTCCCCTAAGTTCTGGGATAAGACAAGATAACTGGATATTGGAAGCTTTACTTTGCACCAGGTGTTATTTTTAATGTGCTTGGTTTAGGATAGGTTTTATGCTGTTTTAATTTTTGATTGGGAGCTGCCCGAAGTTTGTTATAAGATTGGCGGCTATATACCATATTTTTCAGAGTATAAGACGCACCGGAGTATAAGATGCACCAAGATTTTGAAGAGGCAAATTAAAAAAAAGTTTTTGCCCTCTGCAGACCTCCCACAAACGGCTCATATTTTGTCAAAAAAAGGGCATGCATAGCCTTTAGGAGGCTTGTAGAGTACTCCTGTGGGCTGGGGGGAGGGCAAAAATGAGCAAAAAATGGCCTGTTTTTCACTCATTTCTGCCCTCTCCAGCCCCCAGGAGCACCCTGGAAGGCTCCTAAAGGCTATGCACAACCATTTTTGCAAAGGGGGTGGGGTTTCGGGAGGCAAAAAATGCTGTATTCAGTGTATCAGACGCACCCAGATTTTCACCCTCTTTTTTGAGGGAAAAAGGTGTGTCTTATACTTCAAAAAACACAGTAAATGTTTTAATAAAATAAACATGGAGCTTACTGTATATCCCACAGATATGTCCCACTCTTTGTTGTGAGGCAGGTGGGTTAAAGCGGCCTAATGGAAGTCTTGCTGGGGTTGTCTCTTTGCAGGAATGCGGAGCAGACTGTGCCAAGTTCCAGAAAAGCGAATTGGAGCACAAATTCAACCGGAGAGCTTTGGAGAGGCCATACACGTCCAAACACTCTTGGGGGAGAACCTATGGGGAACACAAGCGCCACCTGGAGTTCAGCCACGATCAATACCGAGAGCTGCAACGCTACGCCAAGGAGATTGACATTTTCTTCACAGCATCTGGCATGGATGAAGTAAGAGTTGCGAATTTGGAATTTGAGGTTTAAAAGGAATTTCGGCTTCTGAGCTTGCCCACACAAAGTGGGGGCAGAGATTCTTCCTAGAATAGCAATCCCAGAATTTATTGACATACTTAAAACTCAATTTCTTGCCTCTTTCTTGGCCTGAATACTTCAGGTCTTTACACATTTCATCTGCTTGTTCCCAGCACCTTTAGTCTTTCTTCCCACAAGAGAGAGAATAGCAGAATATATTAACGGGGATTTAACAAGTGGAGTTAAGAGTTTCAGAGCCTATTGTGGTTTGACTTCAGAAAATGGAACCCAAACTGATGGAAGTTTAACACTAAACAACATCAAGAGCCGTACTGTGGATCAAAGAACCCAACTTTTTCTAGGGATTGCTGTGTTGAAGAAACCGATAACATATTTCTTTCATGATTTTGGTATAGCTATAATTGCCTTTTAATCCTTCTCTTAATTTTTTAGTGGGCCCATTCATCCTGTTGGAAATTTTGTTTTGATTTTGCTTTTTTGTGTGTCTTGCTCGATAGATGGCTGTAGAATTTCTGCACGAACTGGATGTTCCATTTTTTAAAGTCGGGTCGGGGGATACAAATAATTTCCCATACTTGGAGAAGACAGCCCAAAAAGGTAATTTGCTGGGAGCAGAGAAAATAATGGATGTGAAACCACCTGTTTTCATTTGTTTAAATGAATGTGAATTCACATGCTCCTGTGTCCAAATAATTGATAAAATGCACAGTCATCTCTCTCTCCCTTTCTGAGAAAGAAGGGGAGAGAGAGCACAATATTATCTGCCTTGTCTGATTATAAATGGAGTATTTTATATTTCGGACTCAAAATTCATTTGCCAATGATGGGGCCAGTTATGTGGGAAACATAACTTATTGATATCATGCTGCAATTTCTATTAAGGAGATAGAGAGAATTAAGGCCACATCATCTTTGGCAGCGAGTCTTGTTTTTCGACTCCAAATATCTTTAGATGTTGACCAGAGGTGGGTTGCTACCAGTTTGGGCAAACTGGTAGTGGAATGTTGGCCTGAGTCCAGAACCGGTCACGCCTCCGAACTGGTTCCTTGGTCGCCGCTGCATGTTTTTTTCTCCTTTTTTAATGCGCAGAACTATTTATGGGCAACTGCACATGCGCGCAGGAACCCGAAGTAACGCCAGCAGCAACTCACCCGATGTTGACTTCTCTATCGCATCCAAAGGATAATCCTCTTTTATTAATTTATTTAAAAGATTAAAATATTTTTTTTTTATTTCCTTCTTTTGGATGCAATGGGTATGGGGAAGCATTTTATTTTTCCTGCTTTGGACTCCCCAGAGAACAGCTTAGAATAGAATTAGGTATGTGCAACTGCCTTGATTTTAACCATTGGAAGATACCGGTGTGTTTTTTTCTTCCAGAGTCTTAATAGATATAGCAGGAAACTTGACAGACAAAATGCAATTCTTCAAGCCGTCTTTTTTATTCTCAGCAGACCTCTCAGTAGCTGGGCCCACCTTGACAAAGTTCACCTGAAAGAATAATTCAATTTGCTTTTATTACTATGTTCGAATGCTGATGGTTTTGCCTCACTTCTCTCTGTAGAGCAGGGCCGTTCAGCTGCTTCAATGATTTGGAAGCAGGCTGTTCAAAATCTGCTACTGAATTGTTATTTTACACTAAAAAAAAGGAGCAGATGCACAGGAAATAGCAACTTTTAACAGTAATTCCCTAGTTTGGTGAATTTAAATGAACCATATATTTTTCTTAGCCCCATCCATTTTTAGGTCCTGGTCAACTGTGTGGCTGGGCTTGGTCCCTGGTCTGTCACTGGGGTGTGTGGGGTGATCCTTGACTCAAAAAAAGATGGATAGTCCTCTGCCAGGAAGATCTAAAACTAGCTTTTCATATTGTTACATATTGTGAAACATCCCTCCTCTTTTTCTGAATGTTTCCCACAATACAGTACATCATTTTTAAAGGTTTTTTTTTGGGGGGGGGGGCTTTATGATAACAGTTGATGGTAATAAAACAATAGTATTCTTCAAAGAAAAGGTTTCTCTTCGTGGGCTCCCTCAAACAGGTCTATCCTGTCTTTTTGAACTCAAAACCAGGAGACAAACATTTAGGAATGTCTCAAATATAATTAAAATTACCTTGACAAATTTGTCACATTTGGTCACATTTAGGATAGTATCTAAAACAAATTGTAAATTATTCTGCCATTAAACCAACAAAAATATTAACCTTGGGTAAAAAAATAAAACATGGAAGATGGATTCATGGACCCTATTAAAATCTAGCATTAGAATAGGGGTGTCCAACCTTGGCAACTTTTAAGTCTTGTGGACTTCAGCTCCCAAAATTCCCTAGCCAGTTCACAAGTTGAAGTCCATAGGTCTTAAAATTGCCAAGGTTGGACACCCCTGCATTAGAAGGACTTTCTAAAAATGTTTAGCTGGAAATTCTTTCATGGGAAATTTCAAGGTGGATACATATTAGCCAATTTTGGGTGTAAAATAATTGGAGTATTCAAATCCATAGACAAAATGGAGCCACATTGTATCTGGGAAGAGGAAAAGAAATGATGTAGTGAACAAGTTGAACTAAAATTTATCCATACGGAAAAAAGGATGTACTTAATAAGATTATTAATTGATAGTGTATCAGTTTGTATAACTTGGCGGTAGAAGTCAATCATAGTAAAATTAAAAATGCTGCCTTGGCTTTTCATTCCAGGTCGCCCAATGGTAATCTCCAGTGGGATGCAGTCAATGAGCATAATGCAGCAGGTTTACAAACTGGTGAAGCCCATCAACCCAAATTTCTGTTTTCTCCAGTGCACCAGTGCCTACCCCCTTCATCCTAAAGATGTCAATCTTCGTGTCATAACGGTCAGTGAGGAATAATGCCTGGAGGGTTGTAGGAGAATATAGCAATGTAGGACAGTATAACTGTGATAATTCCTGCAAGACAATTTTGATTGCCAGCTCAGGGTTGAGTAGGACTTGAATTTGAAAACTTTCTATGTAGAGTAAGCCTGCAAAGGTAACTCCAGTTTTCTGGTGAGTATCCCTGTGTTAGACTATGAGAAAAAAACCCTCTCATATTCAACATGAGTGAGTCAAACCACTTTGCTTTACCAATTTCTATCAATTTTATTATCATTTTAGGAATACCGCTCAGCCTTCCCAGATATTCCTATTGGTTATTCAGGTCATGAGACTGGGATAGCCATTTCTGTTGCTGCAGTGGCGATGGGGGCCAAGATATTGGAGCGCCACATCACTTTAGACAAGACATGGAAAGGCAATGACCATGAAGCATCTCTGGAGCCCAAAGAGTTAGCAGAATTGGTGAGAAGCATCCGGATGGTAGAGAAAGCCATGGGATCACCGATCAAACAGCTCTTGCCTTGTGAAGAAGCTTGCAATGAAAAGGTAATTCCTTGAAGGCAGAAAGACCTTCTTCCCAGGAATTATATTCTATGTTTTTCTGGATGACTGAGGGTAAGCTGTTGACTTACTCCTGATATGAGTAGACCTGCCTGATTTGGTCAGGTACCAAGAAGGTGGATACTGAACTTTCGAATTACTAAATGAAAGCTCAGAGCAGATGTGTCTGTAGGGGTGGACAAGCGAGCATCCCACGATGGAAGCAGCAATGGAAGCTGTCCCCTAGTCATACCTGTCTCTCGCCGTCACATGCAGATTCAAGGGAGTTTGGAACTTGCAGTGTATTGCTGCTTTCATTCCAGTGAAAGTCTAATTCCCACAGATATTTCTGCCTACCATTATTCCTTATTATAAATCCCAGGCTTTAGGACAAGTAGGAGCTATTAACTGAGCAACATCTGCAAACTTCAGAACCAAAATCCTTAGATTAATAAGATTAATTATCTAAAACTATATCTACATTCATGGGCATTAGGCATTGACTTGTGACCGCAATCACTTCTCTTGCTGAAGCTAAACCAAGGTGGATCTGGTTTGTGCCTGGATAAGAAGTGGTCTGGGAACTCCATATGTCTTCTCTGAAATCTACGTTGCTTGAATGGCTTACAGCACTTTCAGTCCTAAATTCTCTGTAGAACAACTTTGCCTATTTAAATTTCGCTTTTTTTGCAGTTGGGAAAATCCGTAATTGCCAAAGTCAGGATCCCAGAAGGCACCATGCTCACGTTGGACATGCTCACAATAAAGGTGGGGGAACCCAAAGGATATCCACCAGAAGATATTTTTGAGTTGGTTGGCAAGAAGGTCAAGGTCAATATTGACGAAGATGAGACCATTGTTGAAGATGCAATTGAAAACCATGTGAAAAAAATGAAATGCTGAGTGGCATTATATATTTATCAAGGATTGTCTTGGGAAGTGTGATTGGCCAAAATATTAAAATCCTAATATTTAAAATTGCATTGAAGATATGTGGGAAAGTGAACCTTGATGAGATTTTTCTTTCATATAGAATTTCATTTCTCTACCATTCTGAAGAACAGAAATAGGGCAATATACATTTTTCTTCAGAATGTGTGGCTAGGAACCTTGTGCTCAGAAATGTCACAGTGTCCTACCAGTTAGGATATTGCCCCAAAAGTACTGCAGAGCTATGGAAATGATACTTTTCTAGGATTAAATAGTTCTAGTTCTCATGTTAAGATTACGGTAGACTCTTCTAATGTGGAGAATTCAGGACAAGAACTGCAGTGCTAGTTGGGAATACCACAGAGAATAGTAAATTCTATGCTCTTACAATTTGATTTGTCAGTCTTCCTTCCCTGTCTTTATCATTAAGGTTTGTCTATAGAGAAAATATAAAATGTATACAAACCACACTTATTTTTAAACCTCCCTTATATGCTTCTAGGCTATCAAGTACCGGCATCTAATCAGCTTGTACAGACAAACCTGATTATTAGACATTTAAGGAAAACTTTGTCCTAAAACTGAGCTTATGATCAATGATTGCTTTTTTGAAATAAAAAATTAAGTTGGCTATCATAAGCAATTCCTACCGAGAAACAATTCAGTCAACATGTTTAACGTAACCCTGTTTTTATGATGCTATTGTTTTTGGTTGTATCATGTGCCTTGTAATGAATCAGAATCACTCAAGATGTTTTAATGAATGTAGCATTATTTATTCTATTATGGTATACTGATAATTCACATTTCAATCTTGAAAACTTTGAATGAAGAATGCTGGCTTATGCTTGAAAAGTGTCCAAGAGAGTTCATCCTTGTGAGATTGATTTACTTAAAAACTCAAACGTAAATTTCAGGCTTCTGTTAGTCCACCTACCCTGTTTCAGGACCATTCTGGTACATGTTAATGAGTGTTACATTTATATAAATTCATATAGTCTAATATAGGCTGCAGCTTGTGAAAGTGGAGATGCAGTCTATGTGCTATGGAGTGCTCACAGGTGCATGCGTCTTCTAAAAAGTATTCCACTATGCGGGTGTCACGGAAGCCCAGAAACGAGAGGAAGTGGGTGCAGGCTTGTTTGCTCAACCATTTGATGCAATATCAGCATAGATTTTTTTGTGATTCATGATGGTGTCATTCTATTAATCTTGCTTTAAGGAAATGATTAAACAATAATGGACATTTTTTTTAAGATTTGAAAAAGTTAATAAAATTTGTTGAATAAACTTTTTTGTACCGTTTGTTTTCATGGGGACAACTCTATTGCATCTCCTGTGGGATCTTCTATCATCGAGGGAGGAAAGAGAGCCCCTTTAGACACTTTTTGATTTGATGAAGGATGAGTGCTGCCAGAAATACAACACTGCTGCCCAGAACTGTGTTTGAAAAAACTACAACTTTTTAGGCCATAGCAACAGGAACAATATACTAAACAGGGTTTGTGAAGGATGGTTTTGCATATGTAGACCAAATCTGTCTCAGTCTTAACAAAACACAAATCAAAACAATGGGGACAGAGTTATGGGGAAATCAGAAAAGCTTTGTTTAGGAACAAGGGCTCAGTCCTTCCTTGGGAATTCCATCTCAAATTACCTATCATCCACAAAGTGGTTCTAAAAACTAACCTATAGTTCTACTCTGCCAGTAACAACCATCCAGGTATATTAGCCTTGTCATTACTGGGTCTGCTTGGAAAGAGGGAAGTATGGTCCACCTTAGGCAAGGGTATCAAACTTGTGTGGTCACGTGACATATTGTGACCCCCCCCCTTTGTTAATATGGGGGTGAGCATGGGCAGTGTGTGACGCATCCAACCTAACACCCCTGATTAAAGCCAACATGATTCAGTCCCAGACCAAGCTGCAGGATTAATGGGAAAGCAAAATGGGAGTTCCAACACACATCTGGATGATTGGTTGCCTGAGATTGTGGTATCTGGGATTTTTTTTAGACATACAGATTACAAATTTGTCCTTCCCCATACTGGTTGAAATGCTAGAAGGATTGAAGTTACCTCATGATGAAGTTATAAAAAAGTCATGTAATTAAATTAAGTGAAAGTCAAACATCTTTAACATTCTCTTTTTCCATTATTTGTCATGTTAACTATCAGCATTCTTAACTTTTGTGAAATTTCTTTTTAAAAAAAATTATCACTGTACTCTATTTTTCTCAAGACATTGCTCATCCGAAGCATTAATACAATGCTTTAGTGGTGATTGCATTTCCCTTTAGTATATATCAAAGTACTACTCTTAAGTTTTCCTAGGGTCGTTCAGGAATTTGATTTCACTCAAGAGATTTCAGAGTTGTAGGACCACAAATGGAAAACTTGTTTACAGCCCTTTAAAATAACTGTATCTTTTCCTAGAACCCCAGAACACTTCCAGTATGATTGAGCCTACCATTTTGGTGCTTGATTTGGTATGTGTTTAGGTATGCACAAAGGCACAAAAGTGGCGATTTTTCAAAGCAGCTGAAACTTTCCCCAGGGTCATGAGGAACCTGACGTTCTACACCATTCCAGAAATGGACTGAGTTTAAATGGTGCTATTTTGTGCTCACAATATTTATGGAATTATTGAGCAAGTCTTGGAAAATGTTTGGAAAAATGTTTCGATCTTAAAACTGTTTAGCCTTCAAAATGCAGTACTTTGAGCTGAAAATGTTTCAAACTGGAAAAATCTTACTCAGTGTAACTTTATAGGCATGTGAAGTAGAATCTTGCTTTAGAAATTAGAATGCTAACTTCTATACATAAGGAATGATGAACAAAGTGCTGTTTTAAGAGGGAAAGTTGAAAATTATCAGTTACGTTAAGAACAACTGAAATAAGATACCATTTTTTCAACTCCCTTACAACAGTGGCCAGATTTATGCACTGAAAAGCAGGACCTTCCTTGGGTTACATGACTCTGAAAGAAGGGGGGAAAAGGCTTTGAATGGAAGTCATTAACATTCAGAGTTACTGCCCAAATTATTCTTCAAAGAGAACTGGGGATTTTTCTTCAGAGTATTTTTCTCCATGACTTTCAGACAGATCTGGCCTATCTTTGTACTCAAATCTTATTCTTGCTGACTTTTCCCTCCATATTAAATTTTATCTCATCCCACTGTTTCCAGAGTATTGTGGTAAACAGAGGCCTGAGAATTTGTTCCAATTCCCCCCCCCCCAAAAAAAAAGCACCAATATTTTTAAGTAGCATATGGAGCTTTCCAGGAGCATCCTTCCTACTGAAAACACCCGAGTCCTGAGTGGCAATGAGAAAAGCATGAAGTAATAGGAAGATAAACTGAAAATGAAATTGCCAGTATTCTACACATCTTTGTAAACAAAAGAAGGATCACTAGTCAAGCACCATCCTTTATGCAGGGATCCAATCCCTCTTTCATCCGATTGAGAGAAGAAACAGAAATATTCCACCATCCTTAGATTCAGTTCCACTTGTATACATCTATAACAAAATAGATACATCTATAACAAAATATCAAGAGTAGGCCCAAAGTTTATGCAAATCTCCAAACTTTGCTATTATTAGAGTGAAGTTTCATAAACTGAGATGTGGAGTCTATCAGATAAGAATTTGCAAATGCATAGGGATTGGTGTACACTTCGATGCTTCGGCACATTATTGAAACAAAAGGAGCATTTTGCACTGCATATAAATCATCTGGAAATGGACATCTGCCTGTCTACTTTTTACCCTAAAGAGGCTAGTAATAAAGAACCATTGGTAAGCTGATGGTTTAAATGCATAACTGAATCCCATGCATTAAAAAAGGTATTGTAAGCAGTAACTATATATAATAATATGAATACCCCGAAGAAATAATACAAAGCAACTTAGAACTGAGGAGAAATTTCCTGACAGTTAGAACAATTAATCAGTGGAACAGCTTGCCTCCAGAAGTTGTGACTGCCCCAACACTGCAA